TCAGACGCAGATCGCTGCTGGAGCGGAACAGATACGTGCCAACCTCTACTACTACACCCAGTACGAATCTATTATGAAAGTGAGCTAAATTATTCTCTCTCCGTTTTCACTGAAATTGATTTTCATCCAAAAATGAGGTGTTTAGGCAGATCTTTAAATCAAATTTTGCTACAGTATTACGGGCTTACACGAATGTTAAAAAATTTAAATTATCGTAAAAGTTGTAGCAGAGTTGACAATAATCCTAATAAGATCTTACCGGAGCATAGAGCAAGTCAAGCGATGATTTTTCTGATCTTATCTTTCTTGCCACCTATTGAGCAAGGGAGATATGTTCAGTGTACTGTATTTTCGGAATTGCAGAAATTGAACAGCGGAAAATTTACGATAACGGGGCAAGTGTTCACACAAATTTTATCCACAATCGATGAGTGCTTGAGATTCCTGCGCAGTCATATTCATTACAAAGATTCGGCAGCTTACATCACCAAATATGAGCAGTGCTTGTCCAAGTACTCGTTTACCGTTATTTTTTTTTTTCTAAATTATCACTTGGAGACCATATCTATTTGATTTGTCAAGCCCAGCGCATCGAATTTTCTGTCGTTGCGGCATTTTCTGCGAAGAGTTCGGCCTAGAATTTTCTTCAGTTCCTTGATTTGGAAAAAGGAGGTGCCACGTTCGATTCCATGCGATGCTTTCCTTATCAGCTGCTATTTTGCTATTGTTAGGCCCTTACGTGGTCCTTGACTGCAGCATCGAAAGACAGGGAAAAATACCAGCACTTTATTCTTCCAATAAGAGCTTCGATTAACAGAAAACGATGAGTAAAATGATGAGTAAGCGACGCGTAAAACGACGAGCCGAGGAGCCACACAAGCTGTTCAACAGAAGAACGCTGGCGGTGTGGAGACGAGACGTTAGCAGCGTTGGTAGTAGGACGTGACGGTCGAGTGGCGTTGTCGATTCTGTCGATTTCCCCAAAACCGAGAGCTTGAATTTAGGAAGGGAAATTAGAGGGCAAGTTAGTTAGTGAGTGGGAAGGTAGCTAGTATGGAATCATTTAGAATTTGGTGGAATTGTTAGAAATTAGTAAGTGGAGGAAAGTAGGTCGAAGTGTTAAGAATTAGAGGAAGGAGGGAAATAGGTGCAATTATGGGGTTACACTATTAACCACATTTAATTCATTCCGAAATTTCATGACATTTGAAGCATAACAGAACTCGGCAGTATTGAGGTGTGGAGTCATTTGCTCATAAATAATAGTATTTATACAAAAGATGTAGCTTCACGAAGAGGAAGGGAAATGTAGTAGCACGAAGGCGAGTGGAAGGGGAAGGAAGGGTATAAGAAACAGAACTATATGAAAAAAAGAAATGAATTACGATACGCACGAAGGAAGTGGCCCAAGCGTGTTTTTTTTTCGACTAGTTTCGAAATTATTTACGAAAATTCCGCATCTTCGTACTTGACGCATACGCAAATAAAAAGTTAATTCTGCATAAATTTGCCGACATGAGGGCGTGGAGCAAGCTTGTAAAATTTCATCTTTGTAGCTGATTTGGTTGAGGAGTAATAAAATTATCGATGCCTAGCTCATGTGTAGGCCTGAAGGCTTTTTTTAGGAGAACCTGAAGGCTTTTTCATTTAGGAGAACCTGAAGGCTGTTTCATATTTGTTGACCTACAGATGATCACGGTTCATGCTGTTACTGCAGCTTTCCAGCTAGTCTGGTTGCTGAGTTGCAGAACTGTCTCTGTCAGCTTCACATATCCATACGTAGGATGTGAGGAACTGCCTCACGAGAGAACATCTGAACTGGTAATCCCCTCAGAAGACGAAGCATACTTGCCAGCACGTTGAACACCAGGCAATTTAGCATTGGTTAATGTAATTAGAAAAGTTGCAGCTGCATAGCTAATTAATCGCCCATCCCTCCTTCCTCAGACTGGATTGATACTTATACGAAAATATATTGTTTTTTTAATATGTTATATTATTTGCGATAATGTTTTATTTTCCCGCGTTTTGGTCTCAAGTGGCAAGTTTATCTTAGAGCAATGACGGCGATAAGAGTGGGTGTGATGGCGGATCTGGAAGCGAGTCACAGTGCTGTGAAAGACAGACAGATGCAACTCGATGTCGACAGTAAGTATTCTTTTCCTGCTTCGTTTGTTATCCGGCCATGTGCCACCGTTCTTTCTCAAATTCTATTCTTCCAACCTTGAACCATATGGAATTTAGTTGTGCTGAACTTCTTCGGTTTTTACATTCCCCTACTTTATTTGTTATTCTTCAGCCTATCTTCGACCGCAAATTACTGCCGCACAGCCACCATAACCCCAACATTACAGCTCGGAATGACTACTTTCTGGCTGGGCCTCCATGACCCTTTCTTTCCTTTCCATTTCACAACACAACGTTAGAGTCCAAAACGTAGCTTCACTATATTGCTGTTAACGCACTTTGAACCAGAGTTCCATGAAAGTTTTAAAAATAAGTTGTATATTGTTGTACTTGTAAGCTGCACATCAAATATGAGTTGAATTGGAGTGGTCTATGGCAAGTTTTTAAGTCGGGAAGTTTCACAGTGGCCTTCAAGATGTCTTTTAGCTCTGATTACAGCATTTGTGACATTTACAGGTACCAGACGAAATAGAATTTCTCAGCTATTTTCATTTTCAGAGCACCGAAATGCTTATTCAGATGACGATACATTTGCCTTGTTATACGGTGTTTTTGCGGCCCGTGCAAACTCTGTTCGCTCTGCACTGGCTGTCGCCGAGCAGCATTTT